CGAGCGTTGTGGTGTACACAGGCGCAGTGGTGCATATCGCCACCTACATGCTGCTCACGTCGTCGTCTTTATCGCTCGTCGCTCGTCGCTCGTCGCGTCATGCGCGCGGGCGCGGCTGTGGTGCCGGAGCCACACGGCTCGGGGGGGGTGGGGGGCGTTACGCCATACCCCGCCCCGCCGCCCCCCCCATGACGCCCGTCATCGCCGAACATAAAGAAACGCGCTCTAAGTACGAAACATGTTCCGATGAATGTGAAATCCCGCCCGTATTGTGGTGTTTCTGTGAACTTGCGGCGGTTGTGGTGTCCATTGTGGTAATTTGTCAGTCGGCATGCAGATGTTTTAGCTTTTCTCCTAGCTGAGGTGCGGGTTAGAGGAGCGAGAGACAGTCAAGAGACACGAAACGATTCAAACATGTACAAATCGTTGAAAAACCTCCAGCGCGGACGTCCAAAGGTTGAACGGCGCCAGTAGCCCAGCATCGGCTGACATCGGGCGGTTTGCGCCACGGCTAAGTCGCGACCGTTCACGGATGAGCGATCGTCGCGGTGTGGGAAAAGAGTGCCGACGCTATCGTGACGTGAACTTGCCATAACGGGATTCTCCCTCTACCTGGCCAGAGTCGCGCGGCTTGTCGGCGACCTTGGGATCCGACGTTGCAAACAAATTGCAACATCGCAAAACATCGCGACCAGAGCCCCAGACCCCATCTTTTTGCATCATTTTTCGAGCCGGATCGATCTGTGAAGGTCCCGGGGCCCGAAATTGAGCGAAAACGCCCGGCTCGAAAAGGGACGTCGCGCTCCCCTTCTGCCCCAAACTCCCGACGCCGCGAGCTTGTCGTTCACAGCGTGGGCCCCCCGGACGGGCATGGGCGCTGCAGCGCACCGGGAGGGGCGGCCCCCCCGGCCCCCGCGGGGGGGGGGGGAGTGGGGTCGGCCAGCGGGCCAAGGTGTCCCCAGTGGCAGGGCCTGTTTCGATTGCTCCGATTCGATTCGATTCGATCTCGACTGCTCCCGATTCCGCTCCGATTCGACTTGGGCTTCCGATCTGGGCCCCGCTGTCTTCTTGGATGCGTACCAGCCCGCCGATCTCCGCCGCTGTGACCTCGCCCGACTCGGCTGCCGATTTCAGCCGATCCGATTCGCTTCGCTCGCCGAGCCGACTTCTCGATTCGACCCTGGGCTCTCTCCTGCAGTGGGGCAGGGACGACTTCGGACGGGGCTGCGCAGGACGAGGGCAAATCCGTTCCAGAGCGTTTCGGAACGCTCTCAGAGGTTCTCTGGAACGTTCTGAGAAGAGAGAGTCGCGGCGCCCGAGACATCCTCCAGATCCGCCGGATACATCTCGAAGATTCCCGATGTGTTCTCACCCGAATCTATCCTCGTCTTGGCTCCGTCTTATTTGCTGGTCCACGCCGGCGCCCTCCCCAGGGCCAGCTTCTCATTCCAGACGCCCGCTTGCTGACGCACCCCCCCGCAACCCTCCCCCTTCCTGCGCGCGGCTCGGCGGCGGAATCCGAGCCCTGCCCTCGCCGATCCACAACTCGGGCAACTCTGAAGGCCGGCGGCGGCAGGCTTCGGCAGCCGCTGCACGCACGGCGCAGTCCGAGCTCCACACCCGCCCCCCGTCGCTCCAGAGCCGATGGCTGGCGGGGGCAGGGGTCTTGCCAGCCTGGAGCATGTCCCCATCCCTGTGTTTGGGCACCTCCTCGTCACGATGCCAATCTTGGGGGCTCCCTCATGTTTTGAGGGCGCCTCCCTGAGATTGTCATCGCCTCTTGGCGCGTCGATCTTTTAGGGATATACCCTGACCTTCCAGAGAGCTATTTTTTAGCACTGGAGGCCTAAAAACCTAAAGATCTAAACGAAACAGCCTAAACCAAGACGTAGAATAGCTCTGGGATAGGTTTTTAGGTCGGGTGCTATTTTTTAGCCCTCCTGGAAGGTCAGGGTAGGGATACGTCCGAGGCCGGTGAGGCTCGGCCGTCGCCGCCCGGCGGCCGCCCATAGAGCAGGACTGGGAGCGTGCCGCAGAGCGAGAAGGCCAAGGCGCGGCCCCGGAAGGCCCGGCAGCGCTCGCGGTCGCCCGGGTCGCCGCAGGGCAGGCTCGGGCCGGGCGAAAGGGGGGGATTGGGACCCTGACCTTCCAGGAGGGCTAGAAAATAGCACCCGACCTCTAAACCTATCCCAGAGCCATTCTACGTCTTGGTTTTAGGCTGTTTCGTTTAGTTTTTTAAGTTTTTAGGTCTCCAGTGCTAAAAAATAGCTCTCTGGAAGGTCATGGGGGAAAGGGGGGGTTACGAAATCTGCTGCATGCAGCTGGTTTCGGCCTCACCGAGGGGCCCATTCCTCGTTACATGGCCGCCTCCGGCGCCGGGAGGCGCCGGAAAATCAGCTATACGTGAGTTGATTCTCAAACCCCCCCTTTGCTATCCCCCCCGTTCGCCCGACCCGACAGGCAGAGGGCTCCCAGCGAGGATGCGGAGCAGCGCGCCGCGTCCCAGCAGCGCTCCTCGTCCCCCCAAGGCGCGGAGGGTAAAGCTGCACCTGCCTGCCTGCCCCGATGCTCGGCGGAGAGGTTTCCCTCGCGAGGGCTGTCCTGCAGTCGGTTTGTTGAAGTAAGGTCCGGTGCGAGGTCCCAATGGGGGCTCGGTGTTTCCTGAGGTTTTTGCATGCGTCCAAGTGCTTTTTTGCTGGCGAGCTCCTTCGGTGCTCCCCTTTGAATTGTACGGCCTTTCCTGTGGGTTGCACGGCCTGACTTGGAAGAAACGGGATTTCTTTCCTCATGGATCGTTCCTGTTTTCAGCAGCCCGTCTGTAGCGGACGACGAACGGTATGACCTCGATGCGTCCGCCGTCGGGGACGTTTGCCCCAGGGCGGCTGGAACAGTTGTACACCTCTACGGCCGCACGTCGGGCTGTAGACATCCCAGCCGCCGTAGAACAGGCTTCCCCGATGGCGGCACGGTGTTTTCTTGTATGTTGTGCCGTTCTTCGTCCGATAGCCGTCTGTCGGTTACGAGACGTCGTTTCTCAGGAGGGGAAAAAACACAGACACAATGAATCGGCGATTCCCCAGGCAAACATGGGGAAGTATGGGAAGGGAGGGGAAGACGAAGACCCAGGAAATGTGGGAAAATACAGGGGAATCCTTTTCTTTGTGTGCATTTCTTTTTGTGTGTCCCGGGGCCCCTTTCAGAGGCGTCGTTTCTCTGGAGCCCAGTCTCCGATGTTTGCTTCGTGCCTATAGGCGGGGCCCTCGCCTTCCTTGTAGTGGCTCTCGGGCCCCCTCCCTCCTCCCTCCTCCCTCCCCTCCTCCCTCCCCTGACCTTCCAGAGAGCTATTTTTTAGCACTGGAGACCTAAAAACCTAAAAAACCCAACGAAACAGCCTAAAACCAAGACGTAGAATAGCTCTGGGATAGGTTTAGAGGTCGGGTGCTATTTTTTAGCCCTCCTGGAAGGTCAGGGTCCTCCCCCCCCTCCTCCCTCCTCCCTCCTCCCTCCCCCCTCCTCCCTCCCCCCTCCCCCCTCCCCCCTCTCCCCTCCTCCCTCCTCCCCCTCCCTGGAGGCCTCTGTGGGCGCCTCGCGTGGCCTCTCGGGCAGCCTCGGGGGGGCTCCGCCGGCCTCCGCGCTCGCCTGGGAAGGCTACACCTCAGGCGATGCTTAAGAAAACTTAGATTTTCGGCCAGGGTCTCGACTATTCTTAATGTTTCAACGTAAATCCTAAGATTTTAATAGAAATTTCTGGTTTTTAGTCAAGTTCTGAGACTATGAATTTCTTAACCCATGATTTCTTAAGCATTTCGCAGGGTGTACCATTAACTAAGTCTGGCCTGTCCCCCTACAGGGGGATTTTCGACGAGAAAGCAAAAATACCCCACGCATAGCCAAAACATAATCCAAACATAGTCGGAGGACTGTTCCTTGAGTACGTTTTACCTTTTTGGGGCATTTCGGGGTTAAACAAAAATCGTCGAAGATCCCCCTGTAGGGGGACACGCCCGACTTAATGCTACCATTCCATATCCGGTCATGCCCACTGGCAGCCGTCCTTCGTCACTTCCATTTGTAGGGGAGTCTGAGTTGGGGTATAGTATTGGCAAGCTCCAGAGCGGGGATCTACCTGTATGTGCATACGGGTACACACATTGGTGCTTACATGTTACATACATACAGGCAGGCAGGCAGACAGACAGACTGACAGGCAGTCAGACAGACAGACAGACAGGCTTGCATGCGTACGTACGTACGTACACACATACAGGTTGTCATACATCCACGATTGTTTGTGCATACATATATATTCAGAAATCATGTCGGCGATGTTCAGTGCAGAGCGAATGCCCCCAGCGGAGCGAATCCCCCCATGGGCTCGTTCATCCTGGAGGTTTCGTGCTGGCGGCACCGTTGGCGCGGGCTGGTACGAAACCCGTGGGATGCACGACACTTCCAGGGAAGTCTTGCAGGCAACGCCGGTGCGGGCGGGTACGCCCAAGAAGTTGTACGATTCCTCCGGTTCTCATCAGGCCTCCTTTTCAATCTTCCACGAGTGTTCAGCATCCGTCCGGAATGTGCCAGAAGTCTTCAGGCATCCGGAGTATCCTCAGGGATCTCCAGCCACCCCTCAGGAACCTTCAGGAATCCCGGAGGAATCCATGAGGAAATCCTCCGGAAGCCCTTACGAATCGCAGGACTCCCCCAGGATCCATGAGGCATCTTTCAGGGATGCTCAGAATCTCTTTGCCCACAAGAAAACCCGCCCACAGGGAGACTCACCCCACACTCCCACAGGGGGGTGAGGGATACGGGTCGTCGGCGGCACCTTGTGCACCCGATACGAAACTCTTGGAAAAGTAGGAGGAGAGAGGATCGTCGGCGGCACACGGTGCGACCGACGCGAAACTCGTGGGAAAGGAGGAGAGGGTTTGGGGGGTCGTCGGCGGCACCCGGTGCGACTGTCACGAAACCCATGGGCATCCTGGGGGGGGGAGTTCGTACCGCGGCGCACCGCCGACATGCAGGGGCTGCGCGCCTCAAGAGGCCATTAGTGTTTCGTCGGGGTGCCCTGGGTTTCTTCGCTCCTCGCGTTATGTCGGGCGTGTCCCTCTACAGGGGGATCTTCGACGAAAAATAGAAAATACTCAAAAATGCACCGAAAAGGTCAAAACAATATTCCAAAAATAGTCCCCAGATTATTTGTTGATTATCTTTTGATTATTTTTGGGTATATTTTTAAATTTTTCGTCGAAAATCCCCCTGTAGGGGGAACAGGCCCGACTTACTCCTCGCGCTGCGCGGTGACTTCCCGCGGCCTTGGAAGAAGCTGCTGCGTTCATGGTGCCCTGGGCGTTTCCCCCGGCAGTCACGCCTCTCGCGTTAAGTCGGGCCTGCCCCTCTACAGGAGGAATGTTCAATAATACTAAAATATAGTCTGGGGACGATTTTTGATTATTCAATCGCTTCACTCATTCCGCCGGCCCATGTTGCATGATCGCTACTGCTTCGCCGTGGGCCCGGGGCCATTGTGGCGCCGCCGAGGAGGAGGAAGATGAGGATGGGGAAGGGGAGGGGAGGAGGAGGAGAGGATGAGAATGAGAGGAGGAGGATGAAGATATGTAGGAGGAGGGGGAGGAGGAGGAGGAGGAGGAGGAGGTGGAGGAGGAGGAGGAGGAGGAGGAGGAGGAGGAAAGGGAAGGGGCGGAGGAGGAAGCCTCTCGTTGGCATCTTGTGTTGCTCTTGGGGCCAAACAGGGTCGTCGTCAAGATGCTTCTTTGGGAGACCTCTTGGGGTCTTTTGAGAAGGGGGCATTTTTGAACTTCTGGGGCCTCTTGGGGCCTCTTTTGGGCCTCCTGGGGCCTCCTGGGGCCTCTTGGGGGCCTCTTGGCGGCACCTTGGGGCCTCTTGGGGGCCTCTCGGGGCCTCCTGGGGCCCTCTTGGGGCGGAAGGCTCGAGTTTTCGGTTCGTGGTCCTCCTCTTGGGCCCCTCTTGGGGCCGTCTTGGGCCGTCTTGGGCGCCTCTTAGGCCGTGTCGGGGCCCTCCTGGGGCCCTCTTGGAAGCCTCTTGTCCCGTCTTGGGGCGCTCTTGGGGGCCTCTTGGGCCATCTTGGAGCATCGGATGGCCGAAAAGGCGACAAGGCCGAAATCCTTCCAAAACCATTGTGACATTAATGATTTTGGCCTCTCGGGCCCTCTTGTGAGGCCTCTTGGAGGCCACTTGGAGGCCTCTTGGGCCGTCTTGGGGTCATCATCGGCGTCTTTGAGCGCTCTTTGGGCGTCTCGGGAGCCTCTTGGGCAGTCTTGGGGACCTCTTGGGTCAGGAAGGGGGGTAGTCGATTGCGCCCCTCCCCTCGGAGGCCACGATCCTCGTGAGGGGTGTCGAAAAATTGCCCGGTCTGGCATCTCTTCTGATCCGAGTGTCCCGAGGGTGTCCCGGGGGTGTCCCAGGGTACTTTTCGTCCGGGGACACCCAAGGGCGGCCCCGCGCGCGCGAACTAGAAGATTGTTAACCAGTTACGGGAGATCTTAGCACGCCCTTGGCCCGTTGGGCCGTCGAATTTTTGATTGATCATTTTCGGATATTGATTGGCTATTTTTCATTTTTCGTCCAAAATCTGCCTGGGGGGGACATGCCCGACCTAACTCTCGCGCGGGTCTGCAGGGCTGGGCTCCTCGCGAGGACTTCTTGCGGCCTCGTCCGCGCCGTTTGTGCTGCTTCCTCGTGCAAAGGTCCGGCGCAGCTGGGCCTGTCGGAGGCGCCGAAGAAGCCCGGGAGCGAGGAGGACCCGAGCGGCCTGAACCAGGGATTGGCATTCAGTCGGGCCTGTCCCTCTACAGGAGGAAAACTAAAATAGTAAAAAATTAATCCGGGGACCTCCTTAGGAGCATTTTTCCCCAGTCGGTGCTGGCACTGAAGGGGTCCTCGCGGCAGTTGAAGGATTTGGCGGATGATTCCCGCCAATTTTGGTCGCACGCTGGGTTCCGGGTTCCCGAGTTCCCGGTTCCCGAGTTCCCAGTTCCGGGTTTCGGGCCGATTTCGGAGGGCGGCGAGGTTTCCGGGTTCTTGGTCGATCTTATCGATCGGTTTCACCATTGATCTCTTTACCCATTTCTCGATCGACTTCACCATCGATCTCACAGTCGATCTCATTATCGATCTCACAAGCGATCTCACTAGAGATTGCATGAGCGATCTCGCGATCGACCTCACTATCGATCTCACTGAATCGATTTCACTCGCGTTCTCACGATCGACCTTACAATCATCCTCACTATCGATCTCATTATCGATCTCACAATCGATCTCAAGATCCGTAGTATTAATTTCCAAATCATCCAGTGGTTGGGGTTTTCTCAGGTGTGATCTGTTTCTGTTTGATGATTTTGGGGACATTTTTCCCAACAAAGTCCCCCTGGACATGCCCGACCTAAGACTGGCATTTAGTCGGGCATGCCCCTCTACAGGAGGCAGATCCCCGAGTAGTCAAAACATAGCCTGGGG